TACAAAGTAAGATTTATTTGCAGCAAATAAGGAGCCCATGGGAAATTATTTCCAAAGTCGTGGCTCCTTGAGCAAAGAAAAGCAGGAGACCTTTTATTTCAGATGGGGAATGAATATTCAAAAGGGAGAGGAAGATATTTACTTGCACAGATGCAGTTGGAAAATATGCTTCCACATACATCACATGTTCTAGTAAAAAGGCCTAGGCTCCTCCTGGGGTGGAGCTCTCAACATTAAAATGAAGCAAAAGTAATCTCTTGGGCGCTTGTTGGCAGGTCTGCACGGGTGTCACTCTTGCAGTGGGGTTTGGATTGGTTCAGGACAGTTAGTGATTGCATTTCTTAACATAACTAAAAAAAGCAATTTGGAAAAACAATTGTTTCTGAAACCTCCTTTGAGTTCCTTGGGGTGGTTAATCAGTGACAAAATCACCTAGTTCTCTTCCAACCAGGTGGCAAGCTATAGACACATGAGCAAAGGCCAGCCAATACCAGAAGAACCACCTAACTAAGAGCAGCCCAAATGGTCAACCCACAGAATCGTAAGCTAAGTAAATCCTTATTGTTTTAGGGCACAAAATTTTGTCTTCGTTATGCATTATTATGGCAATGCATAACAGATACAGTTACTAATAACACAGCTAACTCCTTTGAGAAAATTACCAAGAGAGATGGTACAAAACCAAATGGCTCTCCATTTTTATCCAAGCTGTAAACGATTAATATGCCCTCATTGTTTTGTAAATTTCAGAGAAGTGAAAACTTGGTTATAATTTAACGAGCCACATTAAGAAATTAAAAAACAAAACAAAACAAAAACAGCCAAATTATACAGAACTGAAATTTGAGTTGCGGGTTTTGGGTAATACGCTAAAGAAATTAGTAAAATATCAAGACATCATATTAATGCTGAAATTTATGGTTTACTTATATATAACAGTAATGATGATAAAAGCCACTTAAACAATACCTTTTTAGACATGCATTAACATCTGACAGCACACAACAAAATAAATCTCAGTAGCACCGGAAGAGACACACAAAAACGGGAAGATTGTGAAAATAAAAATAAGCTTAAAAATGTTTCAATTCAAACAATTAAAATTAAAAAGAAAAGGTATAGGTTATTGTGGAATTTGATGAGGAAAAGATCTTGGGGCAAATAGATGTTGGCACAAGTACTCTAAGAATTCAAAGTGTAAGGCAAGTGATTTGTCATCTCTAAAAGATCAAAATGGTTAAGTTGTGTTTACATCTGACGGTCGAACACAGTTCTTTAAGTTTTCATTTATACATGCTCCTGTCTTGTAAGATAATGCATGATTCCTCTTAAATCTTTAGTATTCAGTCTCTACACAGTTTTTAAAAAAATTGTAGTTATTTTTCAGGGTTGTAACTTATAACATGAAGGCAGTGAAACATCAAGGTCAATTTAAACATGCGTGTTATAGTTAATTGTATCTGTTAGCATGTGCACTATGTAACATTTTATAAGATGTAAACAACAATCGTAAAGAAGCTAAATTTGCTCATGAGCCTGGTGGTGACTGACAGCTCTCTAGGATCTCTGTGGGCTTGGCATTGTTATCCTGCCCAGAATAGAACCCCTGTAAATTCACCTGTATGTCTGAAAAATATCCCGGACCATGAGTATGGACTTTCAGTGTGCCAGCTAGGTTAGTCGAATAGAAATGACTTTTTTTTTTTTTTTTTTTGTGAAGAAGATCAGCCCGGAGCTAACATCCATGCCAATCCTCCTCTTTTTGCTGAGGAAGACCAGCCCTGAGCTAACATCTATTGCCAATCCTCCTCCTTTTGTCCCCCTTTTTCTCCCCAAAGCCCCAGTAGATAGTTGTATGTCATAGTTGCACAGCCTCCTAGTTGCTGTATGTGGGACGCGGCCTCAGCGTGGCGGGAGAAGCGGTGCGTCGGTTCACGCCTGGATCCGAACATGGGCCGCCAGTAGCGGAGCGCGCGCACTTAACCACTAAGCCACGGGGCCGGCCCCCAGAAATGATGTTTATAGCAGATTCATTTTCAGGAACACTGTGAAGTCTCCTGCTTCCACTGTGGTTACTGCCCAGCGTCAACCCCTCCGCTGATACTCCCTTGCAATGCTTCTGCCCTTTCTTCCCCTTCCCTCTCCCAACCCCCTGGGTCCTTTGTTCTGTGATACACAAACTCTCTTCTATCTTCCACCTCCATGAAAGTCCCTTTTACCTCACTGCCTTTAAGGAAGCCTGGCTTTCCTCCAAGCATTCTGCTTTGCCAGCAGCAGCCACCTTTATGTTTGGGTGTAAATTCATCCTTAATTCATAGAGGAGGTGGGTTTTCGGTCAGCATTCTCCTAGTTTCCTATGCATATGCCTATCTTTATTCCTTCACGCTCATGTAGAAATAGCTGTTCCTTTAACACAGTCAATTATTTGTTCCATCCATTTACTTAGCAAACATTGATTGAGCACTGACTTCATCCAGGTATTGTGCTGCAGGCTAGGGTAACAGCGACCTTCAAAATTAGGCATCAGTCCTTGCCCTCATGGCATTTGTGGTCTGGAGGCAGACATTAAACAAATACTCATGGTGCTATGAATGCAAATAACGGAAAGGCAGGGAAGGCTTCTCTGGTTAAGTGATGACTTCACTGGGATGAAACTGGGTGATTGGAATTAACTAGGTATAGTAGAGAGATAGGGTAGTGGGGAGAACATTTCAGGCAGAAAGAATAGCATGTGCTAAGGCCCTGTGGTTAGTAAGAGCATTGTGCCAATGAACTGGAAGGTAGATGTAGAATGACTAGACAGAGAATGAAGCAGGCCTGGTAGGGAATGAGGCTTCAGAGTAGCCGGGAGCCAGACCACGTGCAGTTTTGTAGTGCATGATTAGGATTTAGTCTTTGTCGTGAGAGCAACGAGAAGCCACCTGTTGGTTTTAAGGAGGGGGATGAAATAATCAGATTTGTGTTCTGAAAAGATCTCCCTGCCTTTAGTGTGGAAAGTGGATCTGAGGAGGGTAGGGGCAGATGTGGAGACCAGCAAGCAGGCAGATTGTTGTGGTCTGGATGGTGCTGGAGGCCACGGAGATGGCGAGGAGAGGTGTCCAGAAGAGGGAGTTAAGCGATTAGTTGAACAGTGTGGAATATGGGGGTGGTGTGTCCCGAGAAATCATCTTGTGCAACTGGTGACTGGTGATGCCACTCCTTGAGCAAAAGAACATTGGAAAAGAGCCATATCTTGGATTAAAAATAGCCCTTCAGGCGCCTTTGGCTTATCTAAGTGTAGAGGTTACGTAGGCTCACTTCCAGTGGCATCAGCTTTGAGCCCACCTCGGACACGCACACCGACACCATATCCTGGACCTCAATGTAAACTCAGATCCACCTGTTTCTTTTTTTTTTTTAAATTATTTTATCAAGGTCATAGTGGTTTATAATGTATAAATTTCAGTTGTACATGACTATATTTCAGATTCTGTATAGACTGCATTGTCTTCACCACCAATAGTCTAGTTTTTATTTATCACTATACATATGTACCCCTTTACCCCTTTTGCCCTCCACTTACCCTATTCCCCTCTAGTAACACTAATCTGTTCTCCTTATCTATGTGTTCATTTATCTTCCACATGAGTGAAATCACATGGTATTTGGTTTTCTCTGTCTGGCTTATTTAGCTTAGCATAATACCCTCAATGTCCATCCATGTTGACTCAAATGGCACGACGTTGTCTTTTTTTATGGCTTAGTATTCCATTGTATATATACACCACATCTTCTTTATCCATTCACCCATTGATGGGCACTTGGGTTGCTTCCACGTCTTACTTATTGTCAATAATGCTGCAATTAACATAGGGGTGCATAAATCTCTTTGAATTGTTGATTTCAAGTTCTTTAGATAAATACCCAGTAGTGGGATAGCTGAATCATATGGTATTTCTATTTTTAATTTTTTGAGGAATCTCCATATTGTTTCCTGTGGTGGCTGCACCGGTTTGCATTCCCACCGGCAGTGTATGAGGGTTCCCTTTTCTCCATTTCCTCGCCAACATTTGTTATTTCTTATCTTGTTAATTATAGCCATTCTAACAGGTGTAAGATGATATCTCTTTGTAGTTTTGATTTGCATTTCCCTAAAGATTAGTGATGTTGGACATCTTTTCATGTACCTGTTCGCCGTCTGTATATCTTCTTTGGAAAAATGTCTGCTCATATTCTCTGCCCATGTTTTGATCAGGTTGTTTGTTTTTTTGTTGTTCAGTTGTATATGTTCTTTATATATTTTGGAAATTAACCCCTTGTTGGATATATGATTTGCAAATATTTTCTCCCAGTTGGTGGGCTGTCTTTTCGTTTTGTTCATGGTTTCCCTTGTCTTGCAGAAGCTTTTTAGTCTAATGCAGTCCCATTTGTTTACTTTTTCTTTTGTTTCCCTTGCCTGAGTACATGTGGTATTCAAAAAGATACTGCTAAAACCGACCTCAAAGAGTGTATTGCCTATATTTTCTTCTAGGAGTTTTATGGTTTCAGGCCTTAGATTCAAGTCTTGAATCCACTTTGAGTTCATTTTTGTGCATGGTGTAAGACAGTGGTCTACTTTCATTCTTTTGCACGTGGCTGTCCAATTTTTCCAACACCATTTATCCAAGAGACTTTCCTTTCTCCAAGACTCCCCTGTTTCGTGAAGGAATATTTGCTAAGAACCTTGTAGGTACCAAGTGGTATCAAGAGACAGAGGACAAAGATCCAGAACCCGCCCCACCCAGTCTGAAGGAAAAGAGGATTAAGCAAACAAGTATTATCACGCGGGGCTTGTATACCAACCAACCAAATTTGGTCGGCAACCGCGCCTGAACGACCAAGACACGCGCAACCCTCTTTAGAAGATGGAGGGGGGAGCACGTTCTGCGCATGCCCAGAGCCGGCGTTTCGGCGGCGACGGGCTGACGCTACGTCACCTCGCGGCGCCTGCGCGTGAGGTCACTGTCTGGCGCCGGCAGGAAGAGGCGCTGGGCGGGCGCACGTGGGTGGCGGCGCGGCGGGAGGGCGTATGGCGAGCTCCGCAGGGCTGTCGCTTTGTGGACAGGCGGTGGTGGTGCGGGGCGGCAGCCGGTTCCTGGCCACCTCCACTGCTAGCAGGTGAGGGGTCTGGGCTTGGAGCAGGATCCCAGGCTGCGGGCGCTCGTCGGGGCCTGGAGACCCCGATACCCCGCGCCGCCGGCGCTCTGCCCGCCATGGGGTGTCCTCGGGAGAGCCCCGCCACTGCCCTGCAGGCCCTCCGTTGCCGCCGCCTCGGCCGGACAGCGTGCCCGCGTCGTGGAGCGTCCGCGCTCCGCTCCATTCTCCCAAGACCCGCCCCTGGCGCGCCCTTCGCCACCTGCCCAGTGCCCCGCTCCCTCAGTGGCCGGTCTGCAGCGATCTGGCCGGGCAGCACCGGACACTTCCGGGCTCTGCAGGGGCCGGGCGGGGCCGGGTCACGTGCGGCGACGCGTGCCAGGCCGGGGTCAGACCCGCTCTGGGGCGTAGGGAAGAAAGCGGCCCCGGCCTCCCTGGTGAGACAGGTTTGCTCTCGGGGAACGTGTTCGGACTGACTGAGCCGCGGGGGCGCTCCTTCTCGCTTCCCTCTCCTTGCGGTGGTACCTGCTCTTTCACTGTCGCCCGCCTTCATCGACCCTGCCCTACTTGCGCTTCAGGATTCGGGGTCTTATCCGACGCTTCCTTACTCGAGGGCGCACCCGGAGCCCGCAGTGCACACCTCCCTAGTGGCCCTTTACACGGTTCTGCTTTTGTTTTCCCTAGTTTCACGCTCCTTCGTTAACGTTCCTTAGTGCTTACACACGCCTGGGATTTTTACATCAGTAAATGTTTGTTGATCGAATATTGACCCAGGACCGTCATGGATATTAGTAGTGGTCAGTTTCGGCCCTGTGTTTCCTTTCCAGGGTAGTTTTGATTCTCTCGTACTTGAAACAGACGATATGTCTATCAAATGTAAACGTACTGTCTGTGCTCTTTGTTTAACGTTTGGTTTCAGAAATCCAATTCGATGTTAAATTCAGATTTCACAAAAAATTTAGTCAAAAACCATTAGTGTATCCCAGATTATTTTGTTTTAGAGACTCGTAATATCTAACACATGCCACAGGGAGACATGGGTATATTAGACTCAATCCAATTATTAAGTCTGTGCCTTTTGAGGAAATCTAGTGGCCGGCAGTGTTTCTGACTTGGAGGATTACTCTTTCTGCACTACAGTGTTCCATGTGAAAAGAGTGGGTGCAGTCACTTTCAAGGCTGTATATTTGCACAAGATGCATTCTCTGTGCCAGACACTGGAGGCGGGGTGGGACAAACCGGGGAGAGCTGAGGGTCTGATAGTGGCTTCTATATTGGTAAGTGCTTGGCAGCGATGAGAGCTTTTTTGGGGAGGTGAGACATTTTTCTAAACAAGAAATAGCAGTTTTAAATTTGGGTGCAAAAAACCCATTGGAAACCCAACAATACCAGCATAGTTACTTCTACCATAACCAGCTTGCATTGACGTTCTAGTGCCTGAAAGAATAGTGTATTGCTTCCTGTTGAGTTTTTGTCCTCGTTTATTTTACTTACCTGATTTTTTTGGACAGAACCATGCCAGTCATGTGTGGCAAATCTAAACAGGAGATTAAGCAAATAAAGCTGCTTAACTGTTCCCCGAAATACCGTACCTAGACAATTTCTTGTTGTGGACAAGAGTCTTAATTTAATAAGTATGCAAATATTTTTTTGTCCAGGAAAAAAAAGTATTTTTATTAACACAGTGCTCCTTTTAAAATCTGTTATTTTTTTTTTAGTGATGGTGACAGCCTCTTCACATATGATTGTAGTACTGCTGAAAAGAAGTCACAAGAAAATAAAGGGTGAGATGATGGGGAAACCTCTTTGGGGCCTGATTCATGGTTTGAATAATGGGACTGTGTAGTCTAAAAAGCAAATTGTTGGGGCTGGCCAGGTTGCGTAGTGGTTAAAGTTAATGCGCTCCACTTGGGCGGCCCGGGGTTTGCAGGTTCGGATCCCGGGCACAGACCTATTTACTGCTTATCAAGCCATGCTGTGGCGGTGTCCCATGTATAAAGTAGGGCAAGATGGGCACAGATGTTAGCCCAGGGTCAGTCTTTCTCAGCAAAAAGAGGAGCATTGGCAACAGATGTTACCTCAGGGCTAATCTTCCTCACCAAAAAAAAAAGGAAATTGTTGTTCTAGTTGCTGAGCTCATTTGTTTTACCCTGCTGTGTGGATAAACCAGGTACTACCTCAGGAGAGAAACATGGAAGTAACTTTCAAATCAGGCATTAAGAACATTGGGACTTTTCTAAATACTTTTACGCATTTAGTTTCTGTAAGTAATTATTTTATTGGCACCTTGAAATAATGGAATGGAATTTTAAATGCACTGAAGGCAGGTGTATGACATGAACTTTAGCTAATTGAAAGGTAAGGAAAGCAGAGAGTGATGATTATGTATGGTGGCTTTCGTTAGTGGAATTGATCTTGTGGCCCAGTTTACTTTTTTTAATATGATGTAATCCCTGCCTCTAGTCTTGAATTAGTTCATGTCCGTGAAGGAATGGGCCAGGTGGTCTCTGAGGGTCCTTCCAGCTCAGCTCTTTGGTTTCTTGCATGTATGCTGAGAGATTTTCTGTTGAATTAGATTTCAGTCCTTGAAAGAGCTGTTGTGAATCTCTGCATGCCCCTTTAATATGTCTGTATATTCTGGCTACACGAGCCTCGTGACATTTTCTGTCTCTGCTCGTATTGTAAACTAACAAGGCTGGCCTGGAGGAACGCAGCAGCCGTATTACTCAGGTGAGGCCTAACGTTTGCTCCTCTCTCTCCCAGGGAGGACGGGCCACCCGTGGATCAGGGGAGTGACACAGTTCTGGCGTCCACCTTCTCCCAGTCTGGCAGCTATTTTGCTTTAACCGATGACAGTAAGCGTCTGATTCTTTTCCGTACAAAACCATGGCAATGTCTGAGTGTCAGGTATGAAATGCTAACGTTGAATAATTATGATGTCAAACTCACAACTTATACTTGCATGCCAGTAACAGTAGTGACAGTGACCATAGGAATAAGCAACTAACCCGTAGCATCAGCTCTGGGCCAGGCACTGTTTTCAGTGTTAACTGGTGCCTGGTTAACAGGCACGTGTTAACTGATTTAATCCTCATAGCAACCCCATGAGGGAGTCGGGGGTGTCATTCTCGCTCACACCCGCCGGCCGGGGGTCTAGGAGCCGATCCCAGGCAGTCGGCTGAGAAGGCAGAGTCGCTCCCTGAACCTGGTCCCTCTGGCTCCAGAGTCGGTGCCCCTGGCCACTATGCCATTCTGCTTTCCAAAGTGTTCCTCCAGCCTTGTGGCAGCAGAAATAAAGAATGTCAGCATGCACCCTGAGAGTGTCAGGGCTTTTGTGTCGGTTAAGGCATCTGTGCCACAGTTGTAATTCAGCAGGTTTTTCAGTTAGTGCACTTATTTCTAAGTATCCGAAGGATGGTGGGAGCTCAGTGTTGATGGGGGAGAGTGCTAGCAGCTCAGCCAGAACACAGATGTCCCAGGGCCTAGGTATCCCGTAAATGTGCTGTTGCCTTCTTTATTCCTCTTTGACTCTCTCCCTGTCACTCTCTAACAGGGAAGGGGAGCACTGCAGTTTGTGAGCCCTTGTTTCCACAGAGTTTCCGTATCTCATTACTGCCGTGTTCTTAGGAGAGGAGGTGGGTGATGCTGATACACGGTGCTGGGCAGATGTGACTTTCCGTTGGCTCTGACGGTCTCCTGATATGCAAGTTCTCTATCTCTTTAAGAGGGCGAAGGCTGGAATTATTCTGATTGTTCTCTGACACTGATGGAAAGACCCATGTGGAGCAGAGTCACCCCTGTCCCCTCATTCTCGCCTCCCTGGACTGCGAGGGTTAACTGTCCCTTGATAATCAGAGATAAGCACGTGCAGGTTATAATGTCTGAACTACTGAAGGACCAAGAAAGAGTTTCTCTTTGTAGCTGGATCACACCTGTTTTGGGGATAACCATGCTTTTTAGATTTTCATTTGATTTTAGTTTCTAAGAGAAGAGTAAAAAGCCAAATTCCAGGGGGCCCCGAAAGCAAGGAATACCCACTCTGCCCTCTGTTTTATAAAGTCTGGTCATGTTACTTCATTTTTATCTTATGTGTGTTTTTATATATCATATAGGTAATGTGTCCATGATTTAAAAGAGTAAAACACAAAAAATTAAACAAAGGGATATACAGTAGTCACCTCCTTATCTGTGGGGGAGATGGTCCAAGACCCCCAGTGGTTGACTTAAACCACGGATAGTCCTGAATTCTGTATACACCATGTTTTTTCATATACATACATACTTATGATACAGTTTAATTTGTAAACTAGGCACAGTAAGAGATTAACAACAATAACTAATAACGAAACACGACAGTTATAACAATATACTCTCATAAAAGTTACTATAGATCTTAGCAACCTCAGCCTATGATTTCTTTCCTTATTAAGTCAAGCACTTTACCTTTTCATTTAAAGGAAGCACTTTACAGCTTCTCTTGGACATATCGGAATAGCCAGCAGCACTAATCTTGCACTTTGGGGCTGTTATTAAGTAACATAAGGGTGACTTGAACACAAGCACTGCGATACTGCACAGTGGATCTGATAACCACGACGGCTACTAAGTGACTAATGCGTGGGAGCGTATACAGCGTAGATCCGCCGGACAAAGGGAGGAGTCACGTCCCAGGTGGGATGGAGCAGGACAGCAGATTTCGGTGTGCAATTTAAAACTTATGAATTGTTTATATTTGGAATTTTCCACTTAATATTTTTGGTTGACTTCGTGTACCTGAAACTTCAGAAAGTGAAACCATGGGTGGGGGCGACCACTGTACAGTGAAGTGTAAATCTCCCTCCAGGCGTCCTCTCCTGTTCCCTCCCTGCAGGCAGTTAGAGTTTAGAGAGTCTGGCTTTCCTGTAACTGGCTGCTGAGTTTATCTGTGGACCTTTCAAAGCTTACATCAGATTCTCAAAGGTGGCTTTGGCCCCAAAAGATAAAAATCAAATGATCGAAAGGAAGCTGGTGGTAATTCTTTTGCTAAAGTAAAGGCTGTCTGGCTGTGCTTCTGGAATGCCCTAGAGCCACTGGCGTATGTTTTGTAAGTGCAGACTGATTTGTGCTGCCTGGGCTGGGGCTAGAGGTTCTACGATGTTGACCAGCTCCCAGGCAACCCCAACGCTGCTGGGCTGTGGACTGCAGGATGATATATAGAGCTCACACTGCCCCCCAAGGATGTTGTAAACCTGCAGCTGATCCCAGGTTGGAAAGTGGCCTTGGGCAGTGATCAGAGGACCTGGGGGTTAGGCCTGGGTCGCAAGGGACCTGGGTGACTTCCAGGACTGAAGGGTGTGTTGGAGGCCAGTCCTGGATGTACACCTGAACGATGATAGAAACGTCGGAGCTGGTAGAGACTCTGTGAAGAGTGGGAACTACGTGACATGTCTCCGCGGGCCCACTGTGTGGGTCTCCAGTCATTTTCTTAGCCATCTCTCTATCGATGGACATCTTTCACTTGCATTTCACTTGTTTTGCTATTTTAAAAAGTGCTTCAGTGAATTAACAGATGTAATATCTCATTTATCTGTAGAAGTTCCCCAAAATGAATTGCCAGGTCACAGGACATGCATTTGTCATGTAGGTCGATGACCCCAAATTGCCTTCCCAGGGGTTGTGTCTCTCTTCCTCCCAGAGTGTCAGGAGCCTCTTTCAGCCTGGACAGCATGGGTAGTACCCAACCTTACGGTTTTAGATGGTCTGATGGAAGAAAAGTGGTGTCTTGCATACTTAGCTATGAGTGAGGGAGAGCAGCTTTTATCCTTAGGAACCACTTGTGTCTGTGAGCCGGCTACTCATAGCCTTTGCTTTCCCACTGGCTGGTGGTTCCTTTCTCATTCGATTATATAGTAGGGAGCTTAGGTCTTCCCACTTGTTTTAAACGAGTCCATCTACAAAAGTTTTGCTTTCACACGGCCTTCCGGTAGCACAGCGTGTCAAGTGGGAGCCACTCATGGCCACTGAGATGTTCGCTGAGCCTTTTCCAATGTGTTCGCCTCGGCCAGCGAACTTTCCAGAGGCCTGCCGTCCAGCATCGCCGCAGGTCTGTGGCTTGTGTGCCGAGTAATGGGCAGAGCACCTGGCAGGACCTCACCCAGTGTCGTCTCTGGGGGAGGGAAGATTAGATCCGGGGGGTTGAGGATGGGTTCTCAGTCTGCTCCCTTGGAGTACAGTGTGGTGTCTACCATGGGGGTCTTTTCCATTTTCCCCTTTAATTATCTGCTTCACACAGAAAATTGGAAACCACAGAACAGTACAAAGTGGGAACAAAAATAAACCCTCTTGAGTCTCCCCACCCAGAGACACTGGTCACGCCTGTCCAATTCCCTCTGCACACACAGCGCTTGTGTATGCTAGCGCCTGCTGCTCGTAGTGTTTTCCCATGGGCAGCCTGCTGGGAACCTCTCATCCCTGTCTCCGCTGTTGAGATGACGCTTTCCTTGGGAATCGGATCCGTTTCTGCCTCTGGACTGGGGGTTGGGGGTGGGACTTTGAGGTGCCAGTCCACACAACACTGCCCTCACTTCTGTCACCAGGTTTGGAGTCCCCAAGACCACCCTCGGGCTTGGTAATTCGTGAGGAGGACTCAGAACTCGCTGGAATCCACTACGCTTAGGGTTACCATAGATGACAGTGAAAGCGTACAGACCAAGGTCAGCCGAGGGTCGGGTGCACGGGGGAGTCCAGGGAGGTCCCAGTGCAGGGCGTCCAGGTGTCCTCTCCCCGTGGAGTCAGGACGCTCGACTGCCCGGCATCTTTGTGTGACAGTTCATGTGGGGTCTTGCCAACCAGGGAAGCTTGTCTGAGCCTCTGTGTCCATAGTGTTGTTGGGGTTTGGTCAGGTGCCAGGTCGACAGCCCCCCGAGGCCCCATCATGACGCACATCATAGCCTGTCTGGTGGGGCCAGAGGCCCCAGGTGGATGAACGTTCTCCTCCCAGAGACCAGCTCCTCCCAGGATGTGAGGCCACAGGCCAGACCTCTCTTTGGGGGAGGGTAATTCTTCACACCAGTCATGTGCTGCATATTGACGTTTGGTCAACAACAGACAGCATATGCGACGGTGGTCCCATGAGATTAGTAACATGGAGCCTAAGCATGTAGTAGGCTACACCATCTAGGTGCGTGTAAGTACACTCTATGATGTTTGCACAATGAAATCGCCTAACGATGCGTTTCTCAGATTGGATCCCCGTCGTTAAGTGATGCATTACTGTATACAGGGGGTGTGCCCACTGTTGGGGCTTTTGACCGCTGGGCCCGCCCCATTGGAACAGTGACCACTTTCTGTGAAGGTGTGGGAGCGGGCCTGGGCCTGGTGGCCTTGCGGGTCAGCAGTGAGCTTGCCCTCACTTTGTGGGTGGAAGTTCTGAAGTTGCCGGAAGGTGGACACACGAGTGAGATGTCGTGTGACTTCAGTATGTGCATCCTGCTCGTGGGTGGCACTTCACTTTGAACTTGGGAACGGCAGTCCACACAGCCTGCCTGCACTCAGTTCCTAAGAATGGAGCTTACACCTCGATGGAAGGGTGAGTGTGCAGGGCTCCTGGGGGGGCTCTGATTGTTCTAGAAGGGGTCCTGGCATTGTGCAGGTCTGGTAAGAGAGGAAGCTAGAGTTCCCCCTGACTGTCCCATGGGTCTGTGTGGCTTTGGGCTTATCAGTAAGGGAATTTAGGACGGGGCCTCCTTGAGTGCAAGGCGCAGGATGGGTGTTCAGTTATGTGTGAATGTGCCTGGCTCCTTCTTCATCATGGTCTCTGGGTGTTGGACTGGGCAGATGCTGTGCTGTGCTGTTTTGTCCTGTCTTGAAGGTAGCATGTTGGTGATTCCCAGTAATACTCAGGGGGTGGGCAGTAGTACCTTAGCAAACACTTGTGGGTACCTGGCATTTTCCCCTTTAATTGTTTGCTTTTGTTTTTTAAATTGATATCAACAAAAGTAACTTTGTGTAGAAAACATTTGCATTAGGTGGCATAGAAGACAAATAATGTGATTGGGTGAAATTAAGGGACTAGATTAGATTACAAAATCCAGGGTCTCTGTAGTGTCGCTTGTAGGAGGCACATCTTGCACTGCAAACATCGCAGGCCTGGGAGTTACACAGACCCTGTGTGCCTGCCCTCGCAGGTGTGCCCGTCCTCAGCAGGTGTACCCCCCCTCGCCCGTCAGCCAGGGAATGAAGGGGTGGGGCCAGATGGTGTCCCAGGTCTAGGGTTTGCATTTCTCACGTGGCCCCTCCCTGTAGATTTGCCCTGAACTCAGCGCCTTGTCTTTCTCTGTATTGGGCTTTTGGATGCCCCTGGTCTGTAGCAGATGTGTAGTTATTGCCCCACCCACCACCCCCAAGTCCCCTGGATGAATTCCTCAATGCTGTTTTTTTTACGCCTTTAGAATTTTGGCTTTGTGAATTTTTCAGAGTTGGGTTGAGTGAAATCTTCACCCTCTGTCTCTAACGGGCATTCAGAGGAGATTTTTCTGATAAAAGGAGCAGGTTTTTGGGAGAGTGGGGAAGCAGGAGAGCTTGTGCAGTGGACAGAGGTGATTGGGATGACGTACAGCGGGGGTCTCGCCCTGGGCTGGGCCAGCGGACATTACACTGGGGGGGGACCCGGCGCTCCTTCACCCTTGCGGTCCTTTACTTTTGGGACAGACCCCTTTTGGATCTGAGGGACCCCCTCCTCAGGAAAACGCCCATCCGTCACACCCTCTGACAGTCACTTCATCGTTAGGGGTCTCCTGGCCTCGCAGTTTATCCACATTTGACCGACCGGGCCCCCGAGCTGCTATGGGACTCGCCCACAGCTCAGAGCTCCCCAGTGGGCACTTAATTTGTCACTGGCACAGAGGAGAGGGCCACACCAGCCCTGGGGGGCCTGTGGAGACAAGGGCAGGGCCGTGAACCAGTGACTCTGTGGAGGGAGGGGAAGTGCTGAGACCCAGACCCTGCAGAGGCTGAAGATTGTTGGGGCCGCTGCCTCTGCTCCTGAGGCTCCCTCCGCTGGGGCAACACGGCCAGCCCACTGACTGTCCCGTCCGATGACCTGCTCCGCCATCTGCGACCTGACTCCCTCGGACCCTGACTCCCAAACCTGCTGGGTACAGCTGAACTGCATCCTGGAATCATCACCAGGACTCGTTTAGCCTGAGAGGCTGAAAGCCCCCAGCTGGCGCAAGACAAAGGGAACAATATAGGAGCGACATTTCTGTGTCTAGGTAGGTAGGAGGGGCGCCGCTGTGAGGGGCTCGTTCCCCCCGGGGTGGGCTAGCTCATTCCAATCCAAGCCCATCACTCCTGGAGGGCTGACCCGGGCTGCTCCTCTAGAACGCTGTGGCCGAGCTCCTGGCAGCTGCTTAATTAGCCCATTAGGACGGGCGGCTGTGTTGCTGGCGCAGCACCGGCCATTTGTTTAAATTATAGCTACCCACAGAATTCTGATTAATCTGGCCCCAGAGCCTAATTATCTTTCTTTTGTCATTGTTTTCTCCATATTTATCACATCAGGCGTCCTGCTGCAGGTCTGCTGGCGCCGATGCAGAGGAGGTTCAGCTGCTGCAGGAGGCCTGGTGACCGATGCCTGGGAACATGGCTGGAGGCCTCCTCCCTCGCTTTCTCTGTCCCTTTGTCCCTCCGCTCCTGAGAGGCGTAGGGGTCCTGTTTGGTCCTTGTGTTGGGGACATAATTCCTTTAAGCTTTGGCTTCCATTTCAAGCTAACATCTTGAGTTCCACTGCAGTGAGCTGGGCACCATCTGCAAGGACGTTAGCTCTTTATCGGGAAGGTGGGTCCACTTCCACCCTCTCGGGTGACGAGAGCAGGGACGGCCACTCTTCTGTGAAGAGGTCATAAACGTAGATAAGTATAAAAGTTGTATGTAAAGCGATGGTGCAGTTTGTGTCTAATATAGAATGAAAATACCTTGCCTTGTGGGGAGTGGATTTTGCTACTTGGACGAGATTCTAGTAGAAGTGAAACATAACAGGAAGACATCGCATCAGCCCTGTCCCCTGGGTGGGTTGGCGTGGCCACGGGGCCTGTGTCAGTATAGACAAGGTGTGGACTGTGTTTCCTACTCTGACACTGTTATTGAACCAACTCGCAAAAGTGACACATTTCACGAATCCGGACCAAGGGTCTGAATTTGTGAGCGTGCTAATTTATTATAGACTGAGCTGGAACTCAGACTCTCTGACGGGCCTGCCTCCAGAGTTGTCCCAGCGGAGGATGGTGAGCGCTGTTGCTGCCACGGCCCTGTGAGGTTGTCTGCCCCAGCTCTCAGTATCGGTGACAGCCCCGTCTTCAGGGACCCTGGTCCAGTGCAGCAGAGCGAGCAGTGGGTCGTCATGAGGGCCACGGGCTTGGAGGGTGGGCTCGGTGATCCTGGACGGGAAGCTCCAGGGGCAGCAGGGCCCTGCGTGGTGGGGCGTGCCTTTGGGTTTGACGGCAGCTCAGGGCACGTTTGGTGTTTTGTGAAGCTGACAGTTCTCTCCCCCTGAATGCACCGCAGAGGTGCTGGGGTCCAGGAGTGGTTTCCCCCAGTGTTTTTATTGTGACAGTTTTCAGACGTACGTCAGAGTGGAGAGAGTGTCACGTTGACACCCGGATGTCCACCACGCAGCTTCTGCCGTTAGGAGCTGATTCATTTAAAGAAAAAATATTATAAACGTAAAATGTATCTAAGGCGTTGGCTTTGTTTCTGTTCTCTTAATGGCTTTATTTTTTGGCACCGTCTTGGTAACTAAAAAAGGAGACATGCGGCAAGGAGCTGCTGCATGCCGTCAGAACGCATGGCTTGCAGGTGTGAGAGAGCCTCTGGGTGACCTGTGTGAGCAGCTGTGGGCGTTTCTGTGGCCTTCCAGGACCGTGGTGAGGAGGTGCACCGCCCTGACCTTCACAGCCTCCGAGGAGAAGGTTCTGGTGGCAGACAAGTCTGGGGACGTTTATTCCTTTTCGGTGCTGGAGCCACATGGATGTGGCAAGCTGGAACTTGGGCACCTGTCGATGTTGCTGGATGTGGTACGTGGGCAGTGTGCTGAGCAGATGCTCAGGTGGGGCGAGGCGGGTGGGCCCGAGGGGCCTGAGGCGGGGTCAGTGCACTGAGTGGGTGGGTTTGGGTTCTCCTGTAGCAGGGACAGTCCTGCAGATCTGTGAGCAGGAGGGCCATGGGAAGGGAATTTAGGAAGGGGAAGCTGACCGCAGGGTGAAAGAGGATGGGCGAGTTAGGAGGTGGCCGTGTGGTTCTGGAAGTGAGGGATGGCCCAGGTCAGGGTGACAGGGTGGAGGGGCACGGGGAGGGCAGGTGCGGTCAACAGGCCCGAGCTTGTCCTCTGTGCTTTACGGGCATCGCCTTGCTCTCCTCCCAACCCCTGAGCCAGGAGCTGTCCCACCCGGAGGAACCGAGAGGCCCACAGAGGGCCAGGCTGCAGCCACTGGGTGGTGGAGCTGGGGTGGGTCCCCTTGGGGACATGCAGAAACAACGGGAAGGAAAAACCACCAGGACTTGGTGACTGGCTAGACACGGGGACACGTAAAGTGGGAGGAGAGGAAGGTGGCCCAGGGTGCTGGAGATGAGGGGGTGTGGCCGGGGTGGGAGGGTGGCCGTGAGGAATCGTGTTGAGATGGGGTGTTCACGGGGACGCCTGGTGTAGAGCTGAGGAGCGGGGACTGGGGGAACTGTAGGGATGGGAGGAGGGGAGCCAGCTCTGGCCACCCAAGCCTCTGATCTGTCCTCTCTAACTCCTCGCGCACAGGCCGTGAGTCCTGACGACCGCTACGTCCTCACTGCCGACCGGGACGAGAAGATCCGCGTCAGCTGGGCCGCGGCACCGCACAGCATCGAGTCCTTCTGCCTCGGGCACACGGAGTGAGTCCCTCCCTGGCCGCCTCTCTGCCTCCCCTAGAAGAAGGCTCAGGTGCCCGCACGCCCCTGTGGGCTTCGTGGAGGAGGGGACTGGCCTGGGTGCAGATGGCCTCTGGGGTCGCTTCCCAGGGAGTGTGCTCACAGCTGCCCTTGCAGTCCTGGGCCCTCCAGAACCTTCGGAACTGCCTTCCCTTCCTGTGACGTTTCCTTGTTGGCGTAGGGGGCCCGGGCCCCACACGGTCCCCGCGGGCAGCGTTGGTCGTGCTGCCTGCAGGAGCTTGCGTAATGCCCAGCCGAGAGCGGCCTTTCCCCGAGCCTGCGCTTCTGCTCTCCTGTCCCACACCAGCGGGTCCCATGTCGGCTCAGGGCTCGTTTCTGAAAGACTCCTCTCAGTGTAGACACCTCCAGTGCCCACAGTTGCTTGCGTCACTAGGCGGTGTGTTGAGGGATGAGGAACGTACTGTAGTAGTTTCAACTGTTCAAGAATGAAACGGCCTCCAGATCTGGGCAGTTGTCACCTACTTTGTGGTCTCTCTTCCAGCAAGTGCGCTCTCTGTCAAGAATTGAATTTTGATCTTATGGACGGGAGGCATTTCTGAGGCACACCACTGCTCTTCTCAGGCCAAAGGCTAAATTACAAGGCTAAGTACCAAGGAAAGGCACTTAGTTTAATTGGCTGAGATGTTTTAAACTCGGTTATCTGAGGCAGGAAAGAGGTTGGAGGGATTTAATTCAGTTCTGAGATTGCTCCTGTCTCCTTGATTTTGAATGGATTGTACAAGTTGACCTTTAAGGAGGTTGGTGGCCCCTCAGTTTGTACCTCATGGCAGCTTATTTTGACTTTTATTCCCTTCTCTAGTAATCCAGCACCTGGAGTTCTCATGACCTGCACGCCCTCCAAGGCTCGCCCCCTTCTGTGTCTCACTGGGGTCTGCTGCTCCCCGCCCCCACCTGGCACACTCCTGTCGTGGGGCCTTTGCCACACTGTTCCTGCTGACGGGCGTGCTCTTCCCACACCCTCCCTCACTTCCTCAGCTTTCTGCTCAATGCCACCTGCCTTCTCAGGAAGGCCTCCCCCCACCCCCTCCCTCGGCCCCTTCCCGCTGTGCCTTTCCTTTCAGCTGCGCTGTCCAGGACAGGAGCCATGAGCCATGGCAGGTGGATGTGAAGTGAGACATGCTGTTAGCGTAAAACTCCTGATTTCAAAGGCTTCGTGTGAAAAATACTTTGAAGATAGCTCGTTATTAATTCGTTATATTGATTGCAGGTAGAAATGATAATGTTTTGGATATATTAAGTCAAAACATAGTGTTAAAGTTAATCTCACCTGCATCTGTTTACTTTTTTTTTTAACATGGTCACGGCCAATTTAAAATGCCATCCGTGACTCACGTTGTGGCTTGCTGTGTTTCCGCTGGGCAGCGCTGTTGAGCCCCCCATGGTCATGTCTCCTGTCGCCTGTCTCCCTCTGGCATCCTGGTCGGGGGCCTTTGTGGGTTTTGTTTGTTGCCGTCTCCAGCCCTCAGCACGGTGTGTGGCACTGTAGGAGCTCAGTGGATATTTCAGTGAGTGCGTGAATGAGTAACAGTTGATCTGTAAGAATCTTGTTTAAGGGCCTGTGGAAACTGTGGTTTCCTCTCCTTTCCAGCGGAGACGTGGAGGTGACTCATACCTTCTGTGCCCTCGTGGTGGACACAGGCTGTATTTGTCCCGCAACATGGACTTTTTCCTTTTTGCGCGCACCTTTGTGGTGCGCACAAAGAACCCCGAGCACCTTTGTGGAAGGCAGCCCTGGTGAGGGGGGTGGCTGGGCCGTGACAGGGCCCAAGCCAGGTGAGGCTAGCCGAGGCTGAGACTGGTGGAGGTGAGGGAACCGCACCAGCCACCCCTTTGCCGGGTCCCCGGGAGCCTTGCATTAGTGATCAGGCTGGGAGGAGAGCAGGAAGCCCATCCCCCTGGTGCTCACGCTGACAGACCCGAGATAGGTTCTGGGAGAGTCGGGTTGCTCAGGCTCTTGGGGTGAGGGACAGGAGGTCAGTTCTGACTGCCAGTCAGTGTTGCTGCTCTTTCTCCGTCCCTAGCTCTTGTGCGTGTCTCACCCTGGGAGCCTCACAGGGGTCCCCGTCATCGCGGACCTTCGGGAGGGTCTCGTGGGAGCTAGATGAAGTGCTGTGCACAGGGCAGCTCCAGAGCAGCACAGACACTCGTGGATCTTTCCGGCAGGCGTGGTAGGGGAGTGTGTCTGGGCCTGGGGGCGCTGTTGCTAGAGCCTGTCATGTTGTTGGGACCCGGAGAAGGACACGGCCTCTGCCAGCTCTCACCGCCATCCACTCATGAGAAGTGTTTCTCTTCTCAGTTCTGCTGGGGGTCAGGGTTGGGTTTTGGGGGAGAAGGCTCCTCTCTGAGCTGACAGATGCGCCATGTGGGTGTCGCCGGCTCACACTCTGCTTTTCTCTCCGCTGTAGGTTTGTGAGCCGCATCTTCGTGGTGCCCGACCATCCCGAGCTGCTTTTATCCTCCTCGGGGGTAAGTGCTTCGCTCCACCACATGCAGCTCAGGGTTCTTCTCAGCAGGGACGGGGCTGGGCACCACACTTGCGGGCGGGGTCCGCCTTAGAGATGGAGTCCGCCCTGGGGGTGGGCTCCGCCCGTCATGAGCCTATCTTCTGTTCCCAGTTGTCGTGGGAAGTCAGTGTGCTCCTTTTCGTTGGTGGCTGTCCACTAGATGGTGCTTGTTTCTGAATTTCAGAGCTGGCCGTGGCTCGGTCCTTGCTTACAGCTGTTTATTCAGAGGTGTGTGTGGGTGCGTGCGTTGAGCTAGAACGGGTGTGCACGGAGTCCGTTCTGAGGGCTGTCGTTACGTCTGTGATAGCATCATGATCCCTGAGTCCTGGAGGGACCTGAGTTCTGTCACCATTGCTGTCGTGCTGTCCTGGGGCCGCGCTCGTGTGCAGAGGTGTAGACTGGCCGAGGCATGTGGCCTGGGCGGATGTCTGATCAGTGAGTGCAGCCTCTGTCCTGGAAGCTGGGGCCTGAGGCCTTAACAGCTGAGTGATGAGGGGTACCTCTCCCCTAAGGAGTAATCTGTGAAAGGGTCATTAAGCAGCAATTTTGAGCCAAAGTGAAGGTTTGAATGACCATTAGGGTCTGATTCTCCCCTTCTTTTCAGAAGCTCTGCCCACATCCCTCCGTTCTAGTCTTTCCGGCCCGTGAGCTTTTCATGCGACCTGGCTGGTTGGGGTGGGCTGCAGTGGGGGGCCCATCGACATGCTGACATGAGGCTCCCTGGTGTCCTGTGGGTGTCTGACTGCTCCTCATTCCCTCACCACACTTGTTTTCTCACTGGTTTTTAATTTTCTGTCTTCTTGTCTTGCTCTTCAAAGGAGTGCTTGGTCATATGAAAGTAAAAAGAAGAGGAATTTGGCCAGAGTTTCCAGAGATAGCCAGTTTTGTGAATTTCGCTGTAAGCCCTCCAGTCTTTTTCATAATGAAAAAGGAAATAACTCAGGCACACAGAAAAGTGAAATGAACGCCTTTGTTCTTACCAGTGAGTTGTGTCAGCTCCAACACTGCGCCTCTGTCCTTTTTACAGAAATGAAGTGGGGCTGGTGCGCTGGCGATCCCCGTGTGCCCTGCTCTTTTCCCATTCCCCTCCGTCTCACTGGCACCCCTTGACCCCGGTTTGGCCTGGTGCCCTTGCACATTGGAAAGGGCAGTTATTTTTATTAAAAGCATGTATTTAAAAAGTCAGGAACCGTTATAAGGCTTATAATGAAAAGTAGAATCCCTCCCACTGCCCTCCAGGGCAAGTCCTTGGACCTCCTTCAGCTGCGTCCTCTTCGTGTCAGCCTGTGTTTCCGGAGACCTTGACGCTCGAGAAGCAGAAGTGTGAGCAGTTTCCTGTCATCTGCTGCCTTCTGTGTGGGGAGGAACCATTTCTTGCCCTTCATCCCTTCTATCTTTGCTGGTGGGCTCCTTATCTCCTAAGGCCCGTCTCTTCCTCCACCTCTCTCCCTCCCTGTCTGTCTCTCAATTCACTACTTTCTTCTGGGGGGCGTCGTCCAGCAGCTCACTAAAGGTGCAGGGAGGGTATGTGTTATGAGACTGCCTTTGTGGCAATGCCCGTAATCCCCCCAACACTCCGTGGTTAGAATTCTTGGGTATAATTTTTCCCAGAGACGTTTGAAGGCGTTGCTCCAATGTTTTCTCTGTTTGGTTTTTAATTTGTTCGGTTTTCTCCCATTTTTCTTTTGAGAAGTCAGAGGCAGGGGGCAGGGGAGTCTGATTGCTCTGACGTGTCCCCCTCGTGGCCACCCCGCTGCAGGCTCACTGGGCCCACTCGAGTCTTTGGTGTGGATGGGCGCGTCACAGGCTTCCCTCCTGTGGCTGGTCCATCCCTCCTCCGTTCCCAGCGTCACAGACTTTGTTGACCTCTTGTGATTGTCTTTTATTCTTCTTGTTTCTCGTCTTTGTCCTGAGGGTTCATGTTTTAAAATATCCTTTTCTTGCCACTGTAGAGGGATTTTTGGGGTGAGTGGAGACGCCCGTAGATGTGTGTTTGTCCCTGTGTTTATCTGCCCTATTCACAGCAGGATACTTCTGCTCGTGTCCTGCTAGTAAGCTAGAGACACTTGCTGTTAACAGTTCGGGGGAAGTGACTTTTCATCTTTTTCTTTCAGTGAAAACTTTTCACATGTTAACGCAGGGATGCTGTCTCTTTAGACTTAGTGTTCAGTCTTCAGGTGTGCATGGCCTGTGCAGGTCTGTCTCTTCGATAACGGACTCATGCTGCACAGAGGGGTCTGCCCGTGACTGAGGCCGGAGCGGACTGGGCTCCGTCGCACTCCCTCCCTGTCTCCTCATTCTCCTTCATGTGCAGTTCTCTGTTTCTCTCCTTTTTAACGAGTGCTGTAACGAATGTTTGTTTATATGAACCCCCTTTTCCTACATTTATATTTACTTTTGGAGCACTAAGGCTTGGTACACTCACCAGTTTCCTATAAGGCTGTACCAGCTGACACTCCCATGGGTGACAGTGGATGCCCCCTTTTCAGAAACAGTGAAGTGGGCAGTCGTCACACGCTCCTGAGCCCCACGTGTTTCTCCCTCTGTGATCATTGATGTGTCAGTGTGTGCATGCATGTGTGGACATGTGGATGTGCATGTGTGTGTGTGTGCGTGAGCATGTGCATACTTAGCGTGAGCACAGCAGACTTCTTTGGCCTCCAGCCATGTGACAGTCAGGTAGTCTCGTGTCCTATGCCCATTTGGCTGTGTGCCTGTCACCTGTGTTTTTCTTAACAATTTGCACAAGCTCTTTACGCAGAAATTGCTAAGAGCAAATAGCGTTTACTTGGTAGAGGCGCCCTGGCCATCACTGTTAATGTTCCCACGACCTGGTGAAGCCTGGATGCTTCGGGGCTGCCGTGCTCCCTGAGAGCGCATGCTAACCCACCCTTGGTGTGTGCAGGATGGCACCCTGAGACTCTGGGAGTACAGAAGTGGCCGAGAATTGCACTGCTGTCACCTGACCAGCCTGCAGGAGCCGATGGAGCCTTGGGGCAACAAGGTAACCCCAAGTTTGTCTCAAGTGTGTTGGGGGCTTGTAGGGTACCTCTCCAGTTACTGGGATCCTGTGAAAAACATCCTTTTACGTTGGAAACATTTCTCTGCTGTCAATACAGACTTCTTCCAGCTGTGAGAAATTGTGTATCTCAAATCCTGAAGGCACCTGGTCAATAGGTGGGAATGATTTATATTTCACTGTGTTTGCATTCAAACAGCTGGTTTACAGAAAGGCCTCTAGTCCTGCTTAGAGTTGGAAAAAATGGTGATGTTGAGCAAAGAGCTTCACCATGGGTTTATCAGCTGGGCAGTGGGCTGAGCACCCACCTGGCATTCTCTGTTGACTGTCATGGATTAATTTCATGATCCCCCAGGATGATGCACAGGCCAGCGTGTCCCCAGGGCAGTTCTCCTGGGCCTTCGGTTGCCAAGGAGATTGTTCAGGGGAGAAGGGGTGGGCTGCCTTTCAGGGTGCTCGGGATTCTCTGCCCCGTGCGTAGCCGGGGTCCGGGTTGGTCCCATGTGGACGGTGCCACCAGCTTCCCCGAGGCTGGGCCTGGTTGGGAGGGAGGGGTCTGCTCATGCATGTTGGTGTCTGATGACCAGGGTGCCCTTCTGCCCATCCTCAGGGGAGCTTTGCACTTTCCCCTGCAACCCTGCCAACCTGTGGGAGCTTGCCTTTCCCATGTGTCTGACGAGACCTGGTTGTGAATTGAAGGGCTCGTCTGCCTCATCCTCAGGTTGGCTCCTTATTTCTTTCGTTTGCCCTGAGACTCGACAACCGCCGCCCTCGCAGGGCCTCAAGCGGCCAGGCTGGCCTGATTCAGGCCAAGGCCCTGGGGACCCCCAGTGCTGCGGCCACCCTGCCAAGTGGCTGCAGGGGCCTCCAGGTTGGCAGACTCCAGCTGCTCTGGCCGCCCCTGTGGGTTCTGAGGTCACGGTGCCCACCCTTGAAAGCCCTGGCAAAGAGAGGCCTGATTTGTTCTGGTAACTTCTTCACATCCGTGCCCTCACTTACCCTGATGCCCCGGGTGGCAAGGTTGATGTCAGTCCCTTTCTGAGAGTGAGGAGAGCACAGGGCAGAGAGAGGACGGCAAACGAGCAGGATTCCTACCAGGGCCTGGTGCGCGCAGCCTGCACTCCTGCACCTGCACGAGCGGGGGCACCCCGGCCTCTTGGGGCTCCTCGCTTCCCACCCTGGAGCCCCAAGAGGTGTGGCGTGGCCCCTGCCCTGCGCGGGTGTCTTCTCTCCACTTCACCTGACGGACATTGGGCATTTCCTCTGCCGCGCAGGGCAGGTGTGTCTGTGGTTAATAGTCCCTGCTTTCCTGTTCCCTCCTCTCCTTGCCTTTGGACCAATTCCGTTGGTTTGGAGACATTCCACAGGCTCCTGAGCCAGGGCCAGAGCCACGGAGAAGCGTCTGCCACCTGCCCCGGCATGTCGGAATTACTTGTGAAACGAGTAGCCAGCCATTGTCTTCCTTGCCCCTCACTGATTTCCAGAAGGTTCCAACACCGTCTTCTCTTTCTCTTCCTTGACCGTATGTGGGAGCTGTCAGAGTCTTGCAGTGTTTCCTCGCAGTTTGAACGGAATAGTCCAGCGTTGGGTCCCTGACGGAAACATTAAGCTGCCGCTTTTCCTTTCAGAGGTTCGCCGTGTCCAGGATCACTTACTGGTGCCAGGAGAACTGCGTGGCGCTTCTGTGTGACTGGTAAGCTCGTGTGCTGGCTGTGTTCCTTCCGGCTCCCGCAGACCCGGGAGGGTTGAGTAAGCAGATTGTTCCAGCCCCACAGTCTGTCTCCTGAGTCAGGAGGCTCTAGGTGGTGTTGCTGGTACATCTCCCTGCAGGGAGTTCACTTTGTGAGGACTGCTGTTCCTGAGGGGTGTGGGTTCCTTCCTTTATGCTGGCACTCTTTTACTTGCTGTTTCAACCCACCAGCATCATGGGTAGCAGTGGCTTCTCACTGGTCTTTTGTGCCTGATCCCCCCAGGAGGGCTGGTCATGATGGATACTGCCCCCTTGCGGGCTGGGGGTGTTGATGAGGAGAATTTAGGTAGCATATGCCTTTCAGCTGTGTCCTCCTGAGCCTGGCTCTGTGCCAGGCAGGCATCGGTGCTTTCTGCCCTTGTTTGTCCTCGTAACGGGTCTTGGGAGGGCATCTTAGCTTGCTTTGGAAACGAGGAGACAGGTTTGGAGAGGGTGATGGTGCTGTCTGGGAGCTGCCTGCATGCAGGGCCTGGTATTGTCTGCTGTGCCCCAGGTGGAACAGCATCTTCTCTCCACTTTTTCCTTTTGTCCTGTGTTGGTTATCTTTGCTGTGTAAGAAGTTATTTCAGAACTTAGTGACTTAAACTTTGGTTATGTCACGGTTTCTGTGGCTCAGGGATTTGGGGGCAGCTTGGCTGAGTGTGTCTTGCTCAGGTCTCATGAGGTTGCAGCCAAGGTGTCGGCGAGGGCTGTGTCTTCTGTTCGGGGAGGCCTGGGCTAGGTGCTGAGCTATCTGTGTTGGATGGCAGCCCACGTGGGACGGTGGGAGTTGTAACATTTGCCTTTCTTTCTTCGTGGGAAGCATCCCTGTGGTCTACGTCTTCCAGCTTGATGCCCCCAGACAGCAGTTGGTGTACCAACAGCAGCTGACTTTCCAGCACAGAGTGTGGGACATTGCTTTCGAGGAGAGCCAGGGGCTCTGGGTCCTGCAAGACTGCCAGGAAGCCCCCCTTGTGCTCTTCAGGCCTGTGGGTGGTCAGTGGCAGGTGAGATGTGCTGGGCTCCTCTGTCCCCTAAGCCTGGGGGTGGGGGCCCATAGCTATGACCCCTTTCAGCTTGATCACGTCTCAATGCCAGAGGGTATGTTCTGTGGGGGGCAGTGGCCGTAGGGCTTGAGACAGGGGAGAAAGGAGCTGGGGTAACTAGCCAGCTTGTCCAGTGTCATGATGCCTGCAATGGGTTTTGGGGGATCGCCATCGTTGGTGTATTTTTCCCATGACTGTCCCCGTCACTCCTCTTTTTAGTGAAGGAGCTGCCACTTGGTGTGTGTCTTTAACGTTTACAAGCTTAGCCTGGCCTTGTGCCTGGGACAGTGGTCCCACTGGACTCATAGGAGCCCCCAGGTGCAGAGGAAGGTGTGTGGGCTGAGCAAGCCCCTCCTCGCCGGCGGACGTGCGTGAACTCTGCACCCTCTCTGAGTCGATTCCCCCGTCTGTAAAGTGGGGACGTCACCTCTGGCCTGTCCTGCGTCTCGCCGGACTGCTATGGGGAAGAGTCAGATAAAGCTCCCACAGCCCTTTGCAGACTTTCACGTCCTTTATGTATGATGCTCATGTGACAGAGTGCTCTCGAGATGCCCCTGAACCTCTTGGGCATTTTTATCTGAAATGTAGTGGTGAACAGAATGCCACCAGCTGGTACCTGTCAGGTCTGCCGGCTCCTTAGATAAAGTCACATGAGATGAGCCAGCAGGTAAAACGCTGCAGCCCTTGCATCATGGGTGTTTATTGTGACGAGATGTTACTGCTGGGTTTGGAGAGTCAGAACAGCTCCCCGGCTTCACCTGACCTTAACGTGCAGATTTATGGGGACGTTGACTAGGTGCAGAGTGGGTCTCTTCCCCAGGCCCAGCAGCCCGGGCCCACCAGTAGGTCTGCCCGTTACTGTCCTGGCAGCCCTGGGGTTTTCAGCCCTGCCTCTTTGTGATAAAGGTCTTCCGTTTATTTTCTCAGTCTGTTCCTGAAAATGCCGTGTTAAAGAAGGTCTCCGCTCACCTCCGTGGCAATTGGGCCATGCTGGAAGGTGAGAACATGAGCGTGGCCTGCTCTTCAGGATGGTGTCCAAAACTGGCCACGGAGAGAAGTAGATTACAGAACATGATACATAGTAGGAACCCGTTTTTGTGAGTGAGGATATAGGATGTGTGGGGTGTACGTGTGTCCCCGTCCAGAAGGTAGGCGGCTGGTCGGGGGCACCATGGAGGTAACCCACACCCGGGCAGAAAGGCTAGTGTGCATCCGAGTCAGGATAGTTGAGCTGCATGTGACCCGGGGTCAGAGTTGGAGCAGTGTTCTGCCCCTCTGCCTTCAGGGTTGGGCGTTGGAAGTCCCCAGTGCTGGGCCAGCACCGGTGTGGCCCCAGATGGAGCGGCAGCACCTCACGGTCCCCGACTGCTGGCACCGAGCGACTCCACAGGTGCGTGCGGTTTCTGGCCAGGAGGTCAGGAGTGAGGACAATCCGTGGGGCTGCCGGAGGGTGTCCAAGGCCCAGGGCAGGTGGAGAGCTTTCGTGTTCTAACCGGAGCACCAGGCCAAGGGGAGAGGGGCGACCATTCCACCCCTCACGCCCCTGCGTTCGGTGAGGAGGGCGGCAAGGCTGTGGGAACCTGGTGTCCTGGTCAGTGGAAGAGCCCCCAGTGGGCACTGCGTGCAGCACCTCCCTCAGAGAACGTTAACACCGTGAGACCCTGCTCGTCTGTATCGGGAGAAGAAGGCAGACTCAGTTACACAGCTTCTGTGTGTTTCCAACACGCTTCTCTTGGGCACAGACTTGAAGCGACAAGGTCTGAAGGATAATTTATAACCCAGCATTGGAATTCAGGTGCCTTTATTTGAATGAAGAAATTGTTGTTAAGAAGACATCTTGCAAAGCCAGACTACCCTCCAGGGAGAAGTCAGGGGTCCTTGGAGCTCTGCAGAGATTCAGACGTAAATTCAGTTTCTGTTCACATCAGCAGTGATGGAACCATCTCATACAAAGCATTCTCGGAGGGCCCTGTTGGCTCTGCACCCCAGAGTTAACATCTGTCCTTCCTTTTCGGGTTGTAGGACTGGGGCAGTGACAGGGCTGTCCTCCCCAGCACTGTTTGGACTTCCTGTAGCAACACCGTCAAAGCACATCTGAAGCAGCACTCTGTTGGGGGATCCATGGTGGTGCTCCCAGCCTGGCACGTGCCACCTCGCTGCCAGCCCCAGGGCATGCATGTCCTGCTGAGCACCACCTCACGCGGGGCCAGGCCCAGGCTGTGCTTAGTTTCCCTGAGAGGTTGTGCAGATAAAACAGCCTGTTTACAGTGCAGGTGTTGGGGAGGTGCGGGGAGAGCACGAGGAGGGAGGTGAGCAGACCTTGAGCATCACAATGGGCTGGAGGAGTCGGAAGGAGCTAGAGGGCAGATAGAGGTCACACGTGCAGGACACAGGCGTGCACACTACTGACGGGCCCTGTGGAGTTTCGGACCAGGGTCAGATGGTCTCCCTGGGGCTCGTCTGAGGCCCATCGTGCCCCTCAAGCCTTGACACTTACATCAGCCTGCATCTGTTAGCTGTGGCTGTAAAACAGATTATCCCGAATTTATCAGGTTAGAATAACCGCACCCCTCTCACTGCTTCCCCCAGGCTGCAGTCAGGGTGTCAGCCGGCACCGCAGTCATCTCAAGTTCAGTGGGGCAGGGTCTGCTTCCAAGCTCAGCAGTGGTTGTTGGTGGATCCAGGTTCCTGCGGGCTGGTGGACTGAGGGCCTCACTTCCTCGCTGGCTGTTGGCTGGTGGCCGCCCTCAGTGCCCTGCACCCAGGCCTCCCTGTCGGGCAGCTCACGGCCTGGCAGCAGCTTCACCAGCACGAGTGAGCAAGGGAATGAGTCCCACCGGATGCGCTCCGCAGCCTTTGTCCCTAGTCTCCCAGTGATGACCCGACTTGGCGTGTTCTGTTAGAAGCAAGTCCCAGGTCCAGCCAGGGTGTGGGGGCCAGGAGGTGGGCATCATGGGGGCCATCTTGGAGAAGGCGCCACAGGTCCAGAGAGAACACTGGGTGGTCACTGAGTTAATTCCCGGTTGCAGGAGGGCCCCGCCGGCCCCCAGGTACCCCTGGTAGAGGCAGAGTCCCGAGTCACCGTCCCACCTGGCATCTGTTCTTGTTCCCCCCCTCAGGCTCTGCCGGCGTGGACGACGGCTTCAGCAGCCTGTACAAGGCCACCTTCGACAACATGACCACCTACCTGAAGAAGAAGGAGGAGAGGCTGCAGCAGCAGCTGGAGAAGAAGCGCCGGAAGAATCCGCCTCCTGGGCCCAACGGACAGACCAAGAAGATGAAGTCAGGGGAGGCCTCCTAGAGCTGCGCGTCCCAGGGGTCGTGACGGCTCTCACCACCTCCACAGAGCAGAAGCAGACTGTACGTGTCCCCTCCTTAAGAAGATAAAGGGGGCGTCGTTCCCCACGCACGCTTGGCGGTAGTTAGGTCCATACCAGTTCAGCGGACCCCTGGGGTTGTCCCAGATACTGGCCGGCATCCTGGCTCTAGAACGTTCTGTCGCTGAGCAGAAGCTCTTCTGCCTGGTGCCTGAGCATCCTTCTGGTTGAAGGGAAGCCGTCCTGTACCATGTGTTGGCTTAACCACTCAGGTGAGGAGTGCAGGTGCCTGGAGCACTTCGTCTTCATATGGGAGGGACCCTCACCCTCAGCCCTGGCAGTTTTGATTTGTCTACTCTTCCCAAAATGCCACCCATGCTGGATGCACTTCCTCTAGGGGAAATCTATTAGCAAACGTTTTTATGGTGGCGTGATCCACATTTTCATTTTGTTCCTGTCGTCTCATCCTTCTGGGTGGAGTACCGCACTTCCAGCACGGTGGCCACTCGACACGCAGGGCTCTTGAAACCCAGTGGAATTAGATGTTCAGTCCCCCGTCAGCATGAGCCGCTGCCCATGTGCCTGGTCCCCACGTGGCGAGTGGCTCCTGGTTGGGACTTGCAGAGCTGGGTGGGCAGCGCTGGTGCTGAAAAGTGGACTTGTTTCAGGCTGTATGAGGACACGGGAGCCCTGGCGGCAGACTGAGTTCTGCAGGGAGCCGATGGATGACGTCACGTATATTTATTATTTCCATTTGAACTTGATGCACATGCTGCAGAGAGCAGGGGTGTCAGCTGAATTCTAATCACTGATCAATACAGATGAGCTTTTTGCAGCTTCTGGAAATGTTCAGCAGCAACATATGGCACTAATTTCAAAATATGTTGAGCAAAACCATTTTTAATGAGTGTACTGTTTGTGACTGAAATGGTCACTTTTTTTTTTTTTTTTTTGGTGAGGAAGATTAGCCCTGAGCTAACATCTGTTGCCAATCCTTCTCTTTTTGCTGAGGAAGATTGGCCCTGGGATAACGTCTGTGCCCATCTTCCTCTACTTTATATGTGGGACACCTGCCACAGCATGGCTCGATAAGTGGCACGTTAGGCCTGTGCCTGGGATCCAAACCTACAAACCCCGGGCTGCTGAAGTGGAGCATGTGAACTTAACCACTATGCCACCAGGCCGGCCCCTGAAATGTACACTTTTTGATTTGAAGACAAAAAATTTTTTTTTGGTGTAGTGGTTTTGAGGGGCACTTGGAAACAAATCAATTTGTGTATCAGAAGCTGCAATGCTGCAAATTTTCCTGAAGTGCCTTGTCTCCCTGGAAACACTGATCTGGAAACACTGTGTTGGTGAACTGCTCAGCATCACTTCCCACCAGGGGTCCCTGCGCTCCCCATGCTGGTGGTTGGGCTGGGCAAAAGTAGTTCAAGGGCAGAGCGGGTGTGCCTGGAGTGGAATGGGGGTGCCCTGGGTGGAATGGGGGTGCTGGAATGCTTTCTTTCCAGGCCCCTGTGGATGTGCCAGCCAGCAGCATGGGGAATGCTCAGTGACACTCACCCCAGTGGGTGCCTTCCCAATGAGTGTCCACAGCATCCCAGCAGGAAGCCTCCTGGTACATTTGCTGAAACCCCATCCGGCTCCCAGTGAGTCTGTCTTCCCGGTGTCCCAGCGGGGGGCTTCCCAGCAAGTCTTGCTGATACCCGGGCAGGAGGTACCCTGGTCTGTGGCCACTCAGCAAACCCACCAGCCTGTGTATCACAGCCACATCCCTTCCAGCAAGGTCCGAATCTCAGCCTTGGTGGGATGCTGTGATGCTCACTAAGGTCCACAGATCCCAACCCCTCTCCAGGCTCGTTCTTTCTTGGACCCTCGGCCTCAGTCCTGGAGGTGGTGGCTGTTCCTGGACCCCGTGTTGCTATCTTCTCTGAAGTCTTTACGCTGTAGTGGACAACACCCTGCTGTTATTTAATAATTCTTTGTATTAGATTTTTTTCTTTTCACGTGATTTGTGAGGTTTCTATCTCTTAACTGATACACATTCTTTTTTCCCCGCTGTGCATATGTGTCTTTTTCCTGGCTGCTTTTATGATTTTTCTCTTTATCAGTGGTTTTCTGTAATTTGATTATGAAATGCTTTGCTGTGTGTGTTTATCCTGTTCACTGTTTGTTGACTTTTTTAGATCTGCGTATTTGTGGTTTTCATCAAATTTGGAAATTTGTGGTGATTGTTTCTTGAAATATTTTTTTTCCGCCCCTCTCTGCTTGCCTTCTGCAATTCCAGTGTCTTGTGTTTTAGACTGTTTGATATGGGCTGCCAGGTCAGTGAGTCTCTGCTCCTTCTCTTTAGGTTTTCTTCTTTTTGTGCATCATTTTGGATAGATTCTGTTTCTACATCCTCCATTTCCCTGATCTTCTGTGGCCTCTGTTAGTCCAAGGCTGAGTATTTTCTGTATCAAATACTGTATTTTTTTCATCTCTAAGTTCAATTTTGGTCTTTTAAAAAATGTCTTCCATTTCTCTTCTGATTATGCTCATTAAAAAAAACATCCTTGATCAGATGGAGCGTATTTAAAATAATGGTTTCCTTTTTTGCTAATTCTATCATCTCTGTCGTTTCTGGATCTGTTTCTGTTGACTAATTTGTCTTCTGTTAATGGGACACATTTTTCAGCCACTGTGTGTGTCTACAAAGTTTTTCATTGGGTGCCTGCTATTGTGAAGTTTTCGTGGCTGATTGCTGAGTCTTATTCTGTTGCTTCAAAGAACATTTCAGTCTTGCTGGCAGGCAGCTAAGCTACTGTGGATTAAGTGGGTCCTTTTGAGGGTTATTTGTGAGCTCGTTAGGGCAGATCTGAGTAGCCGTTCAGAGTCTCTCCACGCTGGCTGGCTGGGACTTGAATGATTCCTGGGTCTGGGGATTGTTCTTTCCTCAAAAGGCACTCTCTGGCCTCGTGGGGTTTCACCCACTCGTGTGCAGGTTGGCATTTGACCAAAGACCCAAGAGGACCCCAGCAGACTTCTCTCCTCTGTCAGCCCCCGCTTTTCAGGGACTCCGTCCCAACTTCCAGTCTCCATCTCCACTCGGGAGGTTGTCAGCCTCTGTGTGGCTTCCCCTCCCTGGGCTGCAGTCAAGAGCATTACTTCTAGGCACAAGTCCTTGAGGATGTGTCTGCCTTTTCATAGGGACCACTGACCTGTGCTGCCAGCGTTCCAGCTGGTTATGGTGGGAGAGTGATTCTGGACCATCCTGCCCCCCACAGTGGGAGCAGAAGTCCTTACTGCAGGTGTAATTCACCTGTCTCTTGTGATAAGGGAGGTACAGCTTCTTTCCTTTGACCTGTCTGTGAATGTCCTTTGCCCCCTTGCCCCTCAGTGGTTTTTGAGGGAGGGAGGGCTGATTGAAGGTGATCTTTCTAGCCCTTCATCTGTTATGTGAATTGCAGGTTTTTTTCCAGTTTTACTTTTGGCTTTTTAAATGTTGTTTTCTTTTTAATACAGACTTTTTTTGCAGTCACATTTATCCATCTTTTTGTTTATGATTTCTGGGTATCGTATTGTGTTCAGAAAGGTTTCCTCCACTCTCCCTGCCTTTAAAACGGTCTGTTTAGGAGGGGAGACAGAGTGTTTGACTGGGGACAGAAGCCAGCACATGGCCAGGAGAGGCGGACGGGCACAAACGTGTGGGGAGACTGTGAGTTCCACGTCAGAAGCTGTTTAGTTGTTTTTTTATTTCTCCAAGCCTGGCTTTTTCCCCATGAAATGAAAGCAAAGTGGCGCTCTCTAGGATTCACAGTGGGATTTGCTGATTTTTGAAGCAGAAAATTGCAGGCCTGACATTTGGTTAATGTTTTGCTGGTTCCAATTCCATGACAAAGAGATGAAAGAACTAAAATAAAGCTGTTTTTGTAGCTCCTCCGGGCTGTCTTTGTGCTGGCTTGACAGGAGAAGGAAGATGTCCGGAGGGAAGAGAGCCTATGAGAGGACCTGGCACATCAGGATGGGCAGGAAGGTACATCCCCATGTGTCCTCTGGGACGGTCAGCGTGGGTCAGCATGAGCAGGGATGACGGCAGAAGATACGAGTTCCTGTAAGCCCTCAAGTCCAGGGGCCCGTCCTCTCTTAGCCCAGTGTTCTTGGAGTTACTGGCTCACACAGATGGTTAGCTAGAGAAATCAAAAGGATAGGAGACATCTGTCATAAGCACCCAACTCAGAGCGTCTGCTCCTTTTACGAAATGTTCTCATGAAAGACACTGGAGTGGTTTTTAGGACCATCGCAACTGTGATGCTTCTTACTTTTTGGCACAAGTGGCTTGTTCTGCAGAGCAAGCGGAGCAGACACTGCTCTTGACTTAAGATCACATGATTATTGGCCTCAATTCTGCAGCTTTCTTTTCTTTTTTTTTTTTTTTTTGAGGAAGATCAGCCCTGAGCTAACATCCGTGCAAATCCTCCTCTTTTTGCTGAGGAAGACCAGCTCTGAGCTAACATCTATTGCCAATCCTCCTCCTTTTTTCCCCGCCCCCCCCCAAAGCCCCAGTAGATAGTTGTACGTCATAGCTGCACATCCTTCTAGTTGCTGTATGTGGGACGCAGCCTCAGCATGGCCGGAGAAGCGGTGCGTCGGTGCACGCCCGGGATCCGAACCCGGGCTGCCAGTAGTGGAGCGCGTGCACTTAACTGCTAAGCCACAGGGCCGGCCCTGCAGCTTTCTTAATCAGGAAGATTAGAGTAGAGATAGCAGGTCCCTGACTTGCTGGTCCTGGGCCAGGTGAACGTGCCGGGTCAGGGCTGGCTTTATCGTGCTGCCTCGTTGAGGTCCCTGCACTTCTGATCCCTGAGGTGAAACCTACTTTGAACCTTTACAAAGTTAAATATTCAGAAGTTCCCCAAAGCCACTGCCACAGATGGAAGCAGAGACTGTTCTCTACTAGGCGACTATTAGAAAACGGTTCACTATACATGGTTAAATGGGAATAACAATGTATTAAAAATGAGTGTACAGGCTGATAGAGAATGTTATGAAGGAGCGACCCCCTGAAAAACTCCCAGGCCCTGATGTTTCACAGGGGAGTCCTACCAGACTTCAGAGCCTGGGTGGTCTCCATGCACCATAAAGTATTCCAGAGCATTGAAAGGAAGAAAACCTCCTAATGCCTTTTATGAAGCAAGTGTAATACTCTATACTTAAACAAGCTGAACAGAGTAAAAAGAAAAAAAACTGTATACCACTATAACTCATGAATATCAATGCAAAAATACTAAATATTAGCACTCAGAATCCAGCACCACATTACAAAAATAATAGACCATGACTGAACAGGATTTTAAGAATGTAAAGTTTGTTCAATATTAGGAAATCTGTTAGTATCATATATTTTATTAACACATCTAAGGAAAAAATTCACAGTTATCTCTGTAGATACCAGTTTTTACAAAATTCAATATCCATGATAAAAATCCTCAAGATGGGAATTGAGGGATTCTTTTTTTATAAAATTGTAAAATATACATACACACAATCTGCCATTTTAGCCATTTTTAAGTATACAGTTCAGTGGCATTAGGTACATTCATTCACATTGATTGCAACCATCTGAGGGATACCTTCTTGACATGATAAACTATATATACCTTAGTCCTGAAGCCAGTATCTTACTTGATGAAGAGACTAAAGGCATTTCCATTAAGATCAGGAACAAGGCTGGGCCGGCCCTGTGGCTTAGTGATTAAGTGCATGCGCTCCGCTAATGGCGGCCCGGGTTCAGATCCCGGGCGTGCACTGATACACCGCTTCTCCAGCCATGCTGAGGCCACGTCCCACATACAGCAACTAGAAGGATGTGCAACTATGACATACAACTATCTACTGGGGCTTTGGGGGAAAAAAAAAAAAGGAGGATTGGCAATAGATGTTAGCTCAGAGCCGGTCTTCCTCAGCAAAAAGAGGAGGATTAGCATGGATGTTAGCTCAGGGCTGATCTTCCTCACACAAAAAAATAAAAGAAAATAAAAAATTGTTAAAAAAAAAAAAGATCAGGAACAAGGCAGGAATGCCCACTACGTCTTCTACTATCCAACATGGGCCCAGAGGCGTCAGCCGGTGCAGCTAGACCAGAGGACTCAATTAGAGGCGTAACAATCTCAAGAAGAAGTAAAACCATCTCTGTTGGCAGGTGATATGAGAGGAGGGTTGGAAAACTCCAGAGAATCGGTCCTCAAAGAATTCAGTGAAGTAGCTGGATACAAAATTAACATAAAAAAGTCGATAGCCTTCATATGAATAATAAACAGAATACATAATAGTTGTAAAAAATTTCCATTTACAATAGCAACAAATATTGCTTAGGAACAAATTGAACAAGAAATGTGCAAGCCTCTATAATGAAAATGTTAAAACAGTCTTGAAAGACACAAAAGAAAACTTGAACAAATGGAAAGATATCTCCTCTCTTGGATAGGATGACTAAACTTGACAGATATTTCAGTTCTCCCTGACTTTATAAATTCAAAGCAATCTCAATAAAAATATTAGCTATTGTGGGGAGTTAGGCAAGTTAATACTGAAGTTCCTATGAAAATCAAACATACAAAAATAGCCAGTATACATATATTAAATCATTATGTTGTACACCTGAAACTAATATAATGTTATATGTCAGTTATATCTCAATTTAAAAAAATAGCCAGGGGGCCGGCCCCATGGCTTAGTGGTTCAGTGTGCACGCTCCACTACTGGCGGCTCGGGTTCGGATCCCTGGCGTGGCCTGACGCACCGCTTCTCCGGCCATGCTCAGGCCGCGTCCCACATACAGCAACTAGAAGGATGTGCGACTATGACGTACAACTATATACTGGGGCCTTGGGGAGAAAAGGGGGAAAAAAAAAGGAGGAGGATTGGCAATAGGTGTTAGCTCAGGGCTGGTCTTCCTCAGCAAAAAGTGGAGGATTGGCATGGATGTTAGCTCAGGGCTGATCTTCCTCACAAAAAAAAAAAAAAAACAAGTCGATATACAGGAAAATACAGAAAAACTGGGAGGGAGGACTACCCCTACCAGCATTCACACATACCATCAATCCTCTGTAATTAAAGCCGTGGGGTACGGGCATGTGAATAAACAGAGCTGTGGAATAGAAAGGAAATGCAGAAGTGCCCCAAGTATATATGGAAGTGTAGTGCATGGCAAGGTGGTGTCTCAAATCACTGGGTAAAGATGAATTTTTTAAACAGTGGTCCTGGGACAACTGGGTTGCCATTTGGAAAAAGGTAAAATTAGATCCGTATCTTACTCCATACACAAGAATGAAATCTAAATAGATTAGGAAGTAAGAAATGAAACCACGAAAGTACTAGAAGAAAATTCAGATGGATTCCTTGTTAACTTTGGTACAGGGAAAGTCTAACTATGACTCAAAATCCAGAGGCGGTAGGAGAAAAGGATTGATAAATTTGACTACCTACAAATAAAAGTCTTTTGTGTGACAGACAAAAACTGAACTGACACACTGGGAGAAAATATTTGCAATGTATACTACAGACAAAGAGCTGTCTTTTTCTCTATTCCTTTGTAGCATCCCTAACATATAAAGAGCTCTTTATAATGTGAGAGACAAAGGACCAAACACCAGATGGAGAAATGGGAAAAATACATGAACAAATAATTTACAAAAAAGATATAAAAATGACTCTCAAGCATATGAAAAAAATGTTCAAACTTGCTTATAACTAGAGAAGCAAATTAAAATGACAACAAAATACTGTTTCTCACCAGAATGCCAAAAATTTAAATAAAATGACAACACTCGGTGAGGCCCTGGGGAAACTTTCAGTCCTCATCTGTTGCTGGAGGGGATGCAAATTGGCATAACCCTTCTGGAGGGAAATTTGGCAATACCTAACAAAACTACATGTGCACTCATCTTTTGTCTCCCGCCCCTCCCACTTCTTGGGATCTACCCTGAAAATACGTATCCAACAATATAAAAATACACACCCATAAGGTTACTTATTGAGCAAGGTTTGTCATTGCACAATGTTGGATACAATGTAAGTGCCGGTACATAGGAGAGTGGTTGAGTAAACCTTGGTACACCCACACCATGGAGCACTGGCAGCTGCAAAGATGAGTGAAGACAGGCTCTATGAACCAACGCGGCGTACTGTTAGGTGTAAGGGCAATGTGCACAAGCATGTCTATAGCATATTACCTTCGTGTAAGAAAGTTGGAGATAGAAGAAAATACACAGGCATCTGCTCATTTGTGCAAAAGAAATACAGAAAGGATAAACCAGACGCTGAAGTGTGATCAGTTACCTGCAGTGGGTGGGTGGGACTGGGGTGGGAACAAGAGAGAAGAGAATGCGGTAGCAGGGATGAGGGGAGCAACATTTTTCCAAGGATACTTTTTGTAAAGCTCCTATTCTTAGACCCATAGTAACCTACTCCCAAAATAAACAATGAAACCAACCAGGATGTAGGGAAATAGAATGCAACAGTAACAAAAGAACCGAACTTTCTCACACACAAGTAACTGAATCTTCTGAAGGGGGTGGGGAAGGAAAGACCCAACTTAAACTTCACTTTGGAAAACAGTATTCTGACTGGATACTGTACATCTAAAAGCAAAAAGAACCAGACAAAATACTGTATGTTAGATAGTGCATTCGTTTCACACAGGGCTATGGGATAGCAAAACTGAAATTGTGTGTACATTAGGATTGAATAAGTAAGTAAATACACAGTGGATGAGGATGCCAGGGTTCTCACTGTGGGAGAAAGAAGTTAGAGACAAGGGAAGGGGAGGGCTAGGAGGAACCCGTGGTGTCAGACTGGAAACTGAGGAATCAATGTGAATCTATGGTTTTAACATATGTATATGCGCCGCATATTGACATTTCAATCAATGATGTTTTGGTCAACGACGGACCGCATACACGACAGTGGTCCCATAAGATGAGTACCATAGAGCCTGGGTGTGTGCAAGTACACTCTATGATGTTCACATAATGAAGAAATTGCCTGACGACGCAGTTCTCAGAATGTTATCCCCATCGTTAAGCCATGTATGACTATATACAGATAGATAGGTGCAGAATAGCTGCGTGCACATGCTTGGGTTAGTCTATGTACATGTGTGTTCTAGCTCTTTTTGCTCAGGGACAATGACATCCCAGTCACGATGAGCTCACCCAGCACCTAAATCTTGGTTTTGAAGCACCCGTTGTCCAATATGAAAAAGAAGGGATCCTTGGAGAACTGGTTGATTCCAGGATGAGGGCAGGAAAAATACAAGCTGAGCCTGGAACATCTGATGGAATCAGAAAATCAGGACGTGCTTGAAGAAGGTGGGGGACTGGTTGAAAGAACACAGGCACCAACCTGAAGGAGCTCCCAAGGGCCAAAGCTGGGACAATTTGAGCAACAGAATCAATGATGGTAGAATTGGATTATAACCAATTATAACCGTAGCATAAAGTAAGTATCCACAGATCCATATAAATCATTCAATACACAAACAAACGGTGGAGAAGAGACAGTTCTTCCTGACAGAAGAATTCCAATTAATAAGTGTAAAAGGAAGGATTGAAGTACAAAATCCCCTCTAGGCAAACACCTTAGTTATAATAGTTGCCAGCAAGATCCACTGATGGATGCTCCATTCAGAGGACAGAAGTGTGAGGAGCAACACACAGTCCTCCAAGATATCTATTAATTACCAAGAGAAGACTATACCTTTACAATGGAAGAACCCAGCAGACACCACCCCAGCCCAGTGATCAAGGTCAGCCTCCCCGGGAATCAGGCCTGCAGACGCCATGCACCCCTGAGATGATGCGCTGCTGTGGAGTGCTGCCAACATGCGTAACCCATGAAACAGTGTCAGACAAACCCACACGGAGAGACAGCCTGGAGTACTCATCCTGCCAAGGTGTCACGGCCGCTGAGAAAGGACGGACTGAGGGACAGTCTCAGCGTGGAGGAGACTAGGGCACGTGGCACTTGGTGGCGTGTGGGAGACGGTCTTGGATCCTGGAACAGGAGGAGGACGCTGGTGGGAACGTGGGAGATCTTTGGCCTGTTCGTGGGAGTGAACCTGCAGAGAAGGAGCCATTGATAAGGTGGGAGAGGAGTGGGTCGCAGGAGGGAAGTGCCTGGGAAGGTGAGATGGGGTAGGACCCATGGCTGCCTTTCCTGCTTTTGTGTGGTTGGTTGCATTTTGGGATGGGGCATGTCATTTAATGCAGTAAGATGGAGAGATCCAAGATGCTGATGGGTGAGCACTGACAGGCATGTACACCATATGCCGTAAGTCTAATCAAGGTGTACAGTGCTTCTATCCCCTCGGAGACTTTCCTTGGGCTCCTGATAGTCAGTGCCTCCCCAGTACCACACTTGGACCGGGGCACGCAGGACCCCATGCCTCAGGGGTAGGTTGACAGGTTTAGCAAATAAGAATGCCTTGGCAACCCTCCACAGGGGCCCCACACTTTGAAGGGCCTTCTTCAGAATGTTCTGAGTCCCTCTGGTGCTTGGGGATGGCTGATCCCCATCTTTCCCTTTCGAGGGACTCTCTGATCCTCTGTACCCCCACCTCCCGGGATCAACCAGTCCATCCCTTACTCGTGGGCTTCAGCAGTGTGTATATGTGTGTGTGTGTCTGTGTGTGTGCACATGTGCCTGGCTTCTACTCACCTTCCATATTCTAGCTACTCTTCCATCTTTCATGTGAAGCACCCAAAGGCAGCAGGATGATCCTTTGCTCTGTGCACCCCCATGGCTGTCACCAGGACAGTCACCCCATCCCCTTTGCAGCCTCCGCGCCACTTGTCAGGCAGTCCAGGGAGTGGCCGCGCCCATCTCTATGAGGGCTTTGGGACCCTGTTCCCACACCAACGACCTTTGTCCTCTCTCGGCTCTGATCAAGGTGAGGATGTCACGCTCATCCTGTGGGAAAAGGGACGGACCTTCTTTGTGCAAATGAGTCGTCTCTTCTGGCTCCACCGTGGGCCCCTCTCCTGTCCTCCCCACTGGTGGAGGCGTGGAGGGCATGGGTGTGGGCAACATTGAGAGAGTTCTGGGAATGCAGCGATCACAGCTGAGGAGTCCAGTTGGGGTCGTGGCTGGAAGAGGCCTTGTCGTACATAACATTCTCAACAGTAAATCCAACACCACCAGAAAGTGAATTATCGTTCACATTTGCATTTGTGGTCACCATCAACCGAGCATCTGAGAGCCACTGGAAGCCCGTATTCAGGGCTGCATGATGGATGGTACAGCATCCCGAATAGTGATGGAACCAGCATGAAGTAAGCGGCCTTAGGGAACTCAGAGGCAGGAAGATCTAGACTGTTTCCATGTAAACAGTTTCCCAAGAGCCACAGCACTGTGAGTAATAAGGCCTTAATCCGATTCTCGAGGGCTCCACCCTCATGACCTAATCACCCCAGAGGCCCCACCTCCTAATACCATCACATTCATCAACATATGAATTGGCGGAGGGGGTCAAACATTCATTCCATAATAGAAGGCTTAAATGAGATAACTTACTGTGATTGTGGGCGAGTTATGTCGCTTAGTTCTGCCACAGTCTCGTCTGTACAGTGAGGATGGTAGGAATGCCCACTTCCTACGGCGGCTGTGAAAGTCACATGTAGAAGAATCTACACATATTCATCTATGTCTTGTTGAGAGCAGTGCACGGCACATGATAACTTAGTAAACGTTAGCTCGTTGGATATGGAGTAGGAAATAGGTATGCTGTATATGTTGCTATATGCAGGATTGTAAACTGTGAAACACTGTATTGAGAAATCGAGACATAATTGAGAAATAATTACTGAACTCCCACTATGTACCAGGGTCTGAGGACACAGAGCTGATCAGGAATGCAAGTTTTTATTATTATTATTATTACTGCAGTTCCTCTAAGCCAGCTTTTAATCGTCCACATGTATCGAGGGAGGGGAAGTATAGATTATAGTAAATAGTCAAGAAGTGCCATGGACACGCAGCAGCTGGACCCCTGTCTAAAAAAGACAGACCACCCTTCATCCTCGCCCTGCCTTTTCCTCTGACCTCCGCTCACTGAGCATGCGGGTTGGGGAACCAGGGTGGAGAGGAATGCCCATGTAACCGCGGGCAACCAGCACAGGGGTGGGGGAGGCTGTGGTCCAGAGCTCAGAATGGCATTTTATTTAGACTGCAGCAGTCTGAAATGGAGGAAAATGCTCATGAAAGGACTGGTGGTTCTACATCTGTTTTAAGGCTTATCACGCCTGGTATGATTTGTATCCAGATCAGCCACCTGAGCCCTTGTACTTCCCACTTCCACGTGCGCCATCTGCCTGTCCCCCTCTAATTGCAGAGCCAGCCGCCATCTTCGGACGTCCCTCCCCGACCCCGCTGGGGCTGTGGGCAGCAAGGTTCGCTCTTGACGCCTCAGCAGTGTCCATCGGGAGGTGCGTGCTAGGATTCAGGTGCAGCACGCTGGGCAAAATGCGCTTGGCTTCTAGTTCAGGATGAACAGCCTGTGCCAATCAAATCCTGCTCCCCAACTCTCTATTTTTACTTTTTAACCTGAAAGTGTAAGTTTCCCAGTCTGATGGGGAGACTGTCAGCCAGTGTGCAGAAATCCTAAGCGGACAGTCCTTTGTATGCGTCATCACGACTGATGTCTCGTCGTCCTCACTGTTGCGTGGTCCACTCCCACGTCAGGAGACAAGGTCAGCAGTGGTAGAAGCCCGTTCCCCTCGAGGCTTCTTGTGCTCCCTGCCCTCCACAACCCTGGTTTCTAAGACCGTGTATCGGTTTTGCCTGTTGAACTTGATGCACGTGGAATCACTCGGTGTGTTCTCTTTTGTGTCTGCTTTTTTGTTTTACGTTGTAGTGTGAGATTCATCCACGTTGTTGCAAGTATGCCCTGCCTTACAGTCTGTGTTGTTTCCAGCTTGGGGCCGCTGCATCTATGCTGCTGTGACCGTTCTTGTGTGTGTCATGCTTGATGAACCCCTATGCTTGTCTTTCCAAGTGTGCAAGTTCAGTCACAGCATGAATGAATGAATGAGTGAATGAATGAAAGAAAGATCTGGAATTAGAATTTCAAGTTTAAATTTTTTTTGGAACTCCTGTTCAGTTCATGAGTTTTTCTTTGCGTTGGGCAGATTTGGCTTGTCCCTCCTACAGGCACAGGGCACGCGTATCCATGATTACCGTGGTTCTCAGGGGGTGACCGCAGCAGGCTGGAGCAGTCAGTTGTGAGAGGTAACTCTTGATTTTGAAAAGGCTTCTCCTCGAGATCTTCAGATTTGGAGGAGAGTGATCCTGAGGACTTTGGGGGCTGTTTCCATGGAGATAGGAAGGAAAGTAGTGTGTCTTGAGTACTGCTGACCTGCTGACCACCATGGGAGGTGTTTTCCTGGGCCGTTTTGCTGAATTTTCACATCAGTTTTCATCTTCACGTGTTTTGATCAGGAGCCTGAGACATGGTGACTTGCTCATGGTTACGCAGCTGTAGGGGCCAGAGCCAGGGGTGGAACTGTTTTGTCTGCCTCCAAGTCCAACCTTTCACACGTGTGTTTCCACAAGACAGTGTTTTCTTCGTCTTTATGTCCCTGAGCCTTGTGCAGTCCCCCACACATGAGAGGCACTCAGAACTATGTGGGAGGGCTCTGGGGAGATGGTGGAGCAGATAGGATTCTGTCTCTCCACCTGGACTATTGCACTGGCAGAATCTGTCTGATGTAACTATTTTTGAAATCTGGAGTCTGTTGAAGCCTGGTGACTTCAACGGGAAGGGTTGGAGTGTAAGTTGCAGTTAATTTGGTAATTTTCAGCTCTTAGCACAGTAGCAGCTACCCGCCTCCCACCCCAGCCATGCAGCAGGCGGCTATGCAGTGTTCCTGGAAGCTTGCATACAGGTTGTGGGAGTCGGGGTAGACAAATAGGACTCTGTCCTCCAGATCCCGGGGGTCTGTGCTCTCATCACTGGTTGCTGCTTCTGATCACAGAGGTGCAGACAAAGGGGGAGGCAGCCATTGTTGCCCCTCCCCCATTGCTGCAA